AAAAAAAAAACAAAAAAAAAATACAAAAAAAAATACAAAAAAAAATACAAAAAAAAATACAAAAAAAAATACAAAATAAAAAAAAATACAAAATAAAAAAATACAAAAAAAAAAAATACAAAAAAAAATAAATAAATAAAAAATAAAAAAATTAATAAATAAAAAAAATTAATAAATAAAAAAATTAATAAATAAAAAAAATTAATAAATAAAAAAAATTAATAAATAAAAAATAAAAAAAAAATTAATAAATAAAAAATTAATAAAAAGAATAAATGAAAAGAGAATAACATAAATGAAAGAATAAAAAAGTAAATGGATGAAGAATAAAAAGATAAATGAAAAATGGAAAAAAATCAATGAAAATTGGAAAAAAGTAAATGAAAAATGGAAAAAAGTAAATGAAAAATGGAAAAAAGTAAATGAAAAATGGAAAAAAAACAATGAAAGAAGGAAAAAAATAAATGAGAAATGAAAAAAAATTAATGAAAAATGGAAAAAAATTAATGAAAAATAAAATAAAATAAATAAATAAGAAAGTAAACGAAAAAATAAATAAAATAATAAAAATAAATAAAAAAAGAAATAAATAAATATAATATTAAAACGCAATTAAATAATAAAACCAATAAAACATTCTCACTTTATAAATGTAATAAAATTGTAAAATGGATTAAGTTAAAAAATTAACAAACTAGAAATATCTTATATATTATAAATAGAAGAACCAAATTTGGGTGGATAATGGCCCCATTCCAGATACCCCACTGCCCGTTGTACGAAAAGTATACTCGTTGTTGTTGTTTTAACCGCAAAAATATTCTCCACAGTACTTTTTGGGGAATGTTGCAGCACTGACGGTCTGTGGCCGGATAAAAATCCGGGTTGTTACGGAAAAAAGACCCGACTGTCGCGGGAACTATTAGATTTTAGTCGCCTCTTACGACAGGCATGCCTTACCGCGGGTGAATTCTTGAACCCCTAACCCGCAGAGGTAAAAAGTATATTCGTGTTTAATAATTGATTACACCTACATATGTTCAGCTCGTGCTTGCAAGGTATAGGGGGAAATGTATACTAAAATTTGTCTTATTTACTTTGATGTGTGTAGCTCGTCTAGTTACATAATTATAATAATTTTTGGTCAAATAATTGCAGTTTTTTTTATACTTTTGATAATTACAACTTGGTTTTAATAGAATTATGTCATCATTTAATTGAAGTTGAACATATGTACATGTACATAACTATGTTCATCTTCCACATCAATCTCGATTATTTTCTGCTGTTGCAGATATTTATGTAAACAAACCTAATATACTCTATTTACATGCTACAAGCGGTTATAAAAATATTTAATAAAAACAAAATTTAACTTCAAGTTGATACAAAACCATACCTACTTCTTTGTCTAATGAAGAAAATTTTTGATGGAAACCATTTCGGTGCTGTGGAAATCCAGTGTTTCCAGCGCCATTGTTGGCATCAAATGACAAATTATTTACATCCCTAATTTCGCCAATAATGTTATTATGCTGATTATGGCCAATTTCTTCATTATCACGTATAAGATATTTGCTAGTAGTTACTATTGGTTCGTCGGTTAATGTTGATGCTGCTGCTGCTACTGCTGCAGAAGCAGTGCACTCAGTAACATCATTTAATAAAATAAGAGCAATTAGTAGAACAACCAACTGATGTCGAGCGTCGCTGCAATGTTTGAAGTGTTTGGCCGAATTTGAATGTTGTTGTATAAGCGACCGATGTTGTTTTTGCTGGGGTTGCTGGCAATTTCGTTGACAGTTTCTTTGTTGTTTCTTTTTTAGATAAAACAGATTGTATGGCATTTTGTGCTGCATCAAATTTATTATTTGTTTAAAGTACATATGTACTGTTGTCTTATTAATTTTATTTTCTTTATCTCATAACGAAAAAGACACAACAACAGTTCACAGAAAGTAACAATCAATGGAGTCTTGTTAAATTTGTATATTTGTCTATTCACTTTCAATATTATTCAACAATAACTATAACTTGACTTTGACGATGAAGTCATCTCTTTGAGCGTAATTGACATTAAAGTTTTATGTAAATAAATGAAGGTTATCGAGGAATCCAGTTCCAAGGCGGCTTCTTAAGTTGTGTAATGCAACTATTACGTTATAGATTTCTCAGCAGTAAAGTTGATTAAATTTTGTAGTTTTTTACGAATTTTCTAGCACATCTGAAATAATAAAAAAAAATCAGTAGACATAAATTTTCTATGTTATATTTTCATATCATCTGAGCGAGTATTTACTATAACTATCCAAGAATATGTTTTCAAAATTTCAGTGACCCATTCGAAATATTTTAGAAACTAGATCAGTTTTAGTAGCCAAGCGTCAAGCAGGTTCGAACGCTCGGTTAGAAGTGCATTTTCTCGAGTTTTCCTTTTTACAAGTCTTAGATAATGGTGCCAGGTGATAGAATATATAACCGGTTGAAAAATAATCAAAATGATCTAGCTTCAGTATTAATTTATTTACCATTTGAAATACAAAGATTGGACAAAAGCATTATTTAAACTATTTTTTTTGCACCTTGAAGTGATTAAAAAAAGGGATTTTTTTTATTTCAAAAAAGTGATTTTTTTAAAGTAATAAATTATTTTTTTTTTTTATTTTTATATTATATTTGTGTATTTTTTTTTTTCAAAAAAGTGAGATTTAAAAAAAGTTACATTTAAAAAAAAAATGAATTCTTTTTGTCAAAAAAAGTGAATTTGTTTTGTTCAAGACAGTGAATTTTTTTTTGAAAAAGTAATTTTATTTCACATTTCGAAAAAAATTTGAAATTTTGCAACTTCCTTGGTATTTTTTTGGTTCATATAGAAGAGGCGCTCATAAAAAATAAAAAAAAATTGGTTGATACATCGCAGATCATTGCAAAATTACAAAACTTGTTTATACCAAATTTTTTTTTTTGAAGCTTAAACACATTGTTTGAAAATTTCGTTTATTCCAATAATTTCCTTCCCTTCTGTAAAAGGTGCAGAAAAAACGTTTTTTTTCGGGATCTCAAGGCGATTACTGCTTTAAGGGCGTAAGTTAAGTACGCAGCCGCAGTCGGAAGATCAAACCATATTAAAATTGAAAAAATATTTTTTGAATTCGATTGCTCTACAGTGGAAAATAACAATACCTTCGAGTGTGTACCAAACATGAAAATAATTTCTTATTTATATTTATTTTTTATATAAATACATATGTATGTATATGTTTCGTGTTCCAGTTCTTTCTCGTGCCGTTTTGGTATTTAAAGGAAGCCGGAAATTTTAACAGTATTGTTTTTGGCAAGCCCCTTTCACTGCTGAGTACACGTGTTGTATGCATATTCGTTGGCCGGAGAGATGTGAACTGTATACATACATACTTATATGCACATATGTATGTATATGTTGAGGATTTCATTTAAATGCCATAAATATCTTGAATGCACATACCGCCAATATCGATGACAGTCAACCAAGTAAAAAAAAAAAAAAAAATTAGGGCGAGTATCTGAGCATGCGTACCTTTCTTATCATATATACGCTATGCCATTATTTATTTATTTAACTTTTAACTGCTGTTTTCCACTGTTTTTGTTTACTTTTTCAATCACGTTACGTTCGTTTACACATACATGGCACCGTGCAGCTGACTGACTTTCTTTTCACCAAGCGTAAATAAATTAAAACCGATAAAAAGCATATATAGTAACACCAAAACACACCATTAATTCGGCTGTTTGCTAAACACAGTTTTGCCACCGTAGCTGTGACTTTAATTCGTATGAATTTCTTCTCCGGTTGTTAATTCGTTTCGATCCGCTTGTATTGAGTGGCTTCTGCAGACTGTTGTTTCGCTCCAAACGGCATTTGGTTATTGCTCCAAGCGGCTAAGTGGCTGGATGGCTCGCTGTTGTGTTGGCTGAAGAAAAAACTTAACCATTCCAACGGGTTTTCGCACGTTTTTTTCTTTCTTAGCCACATTTTTGTTTGTTTGATAACATAGCCAGCCACACACACTGCGCGGTGAGAGTCGAAGAGAACGGTGATCGTTCTTCATGACGCATTTTTCTGATTTTATATGCTCACATGTACAAATGGATTCGACTGCAATGCTTTCGAGATCGTCTGATTGAACGGTGTAATATTTTTTTGACTTTTGTTTTTGTTTTTATTTGCACCTAACATCTTTGTAAAGTCGAAATCGAAATCGAATTAAAAATAAATTTACTTAATCGAAAAATATTATTATTCGAAAGTGTTATTCATTGAGGGATTATCTGAAACTCATTTTCGATTTTTTTTTTCTCTATTATTTTTTTCCATTGAAGGCGGGGTTCTATGCCCTCTATGCTCTCTACGGGGCACGCTACTAGAGGTTGACTAGGTTCGTTTACCCTCAGATATCGCTTTTCATGACCTCTTTTCATATCATCAGCAAAGTGTGAGTGAAGACCTACTATCTGCTTTTGGTTTAGTTTGGTTAGTTGGAGTTTCTGGTGATATGTCTCTTGTACTCTTAATCTTCATTGCCTCTCTTGTGTGTTCCTTGTTTTTGTTAATGTTGTAGATATTTTATTATTTGTTTGCCTCGTAATCTAATACTTTCGGACAGCGCGCCTCTGTAATAAGGCCGTGGTTCCGTCTCGAGGTGGCCCGGTATCGAAAAGTCTCTGTTGAAATACAGGGTATGTAACTCGCCCTGCTGTAAACCAATCAATGTTGATTTCAATGTAAAGAGGAAGATATGCCATTAATAATGGAAAACAATACGACACAAATTACCGCCACGGCCACACTTACAGGACCATATCCTTTTTATGATTTTTTTCCATCTCCAAATCGCAAAGTGACTGTTGTATGCCCTCAATAGCTTTACGAGTTCATCTTTGAGGTTTTAAATCGACATTGGCCTGTGGCCCCAAAAGAAGAAGTCACAAGGTGCTAACTAACGAGATATCGGTGGCCTATTGCGATCACTTCTTTAAGAGATACAAGCTTTTCCCTTACAAGGTCGATGGTTTCATTACTTGTGTAGCACGCAACGCCATCTTGTTGAAAGTAAACGTCAATACCATACAATTCCGCCTATAATAAAGCATTAAACATCTCTCGATAGCGCAATCTGTTCATTTTCGGCCGGGCATCAAATATTTGAGTATGGAGAGGCTCCTTAACAATAAATCTCGAGATTTCCGAGCCCCATATGCGACAGTTTTGCTGATTAATGTAACCATCGAGGTGGCAATTGGCCTCATCAGTCAAGTTGATTTTTTCAAGAAATTTCTATAGTAAATTTTAATAATTTCAATGCGTTGTTGACGGGTATATTGTTCCCTTTTTATTTTTGGCTTTGTTTTTACTTGTCACATGTCAAATAATTACAGCTTTTAAGGCAGAGTTTACACCGGGATACTTTTTGTCGACGAAACAATCGTTTGTAGGGCGGCAGAGAGCGACGAAAAGTTAGGAGGGCAGCGCACCGTGTCGCTGTGCTCGTTCGATACGTTTTGTTTTTCTTTTCGTCTCTTTAGATTTTGACAGTACCTTTTACATTACTCTTCTCTTCGAACTGATTGTAGGTGTCTTAAATTTCAACAAAAATGCCGTAAATTTGGAAATTGAAATTTGGGTTTTGTCTAAAATATTTATACAAAGGGAAATGACAATAAAAGGCGACAAAAAGTATCCACGTGTAAACGCAGACTAAAGTGACATCTACCGGAATAGCAGGCTTTTCAAAATAACATCTCTTATTGGAAACCCCTGCACCATTTTATGCTCTTGAAAGGAGTTGATCGGATCATGACTCAAACTCTGGGCTTCCGAATAGTACTACGCAATGCTAAACATTCGGTGGTTATTGCGGCCGTAATGAGTAATGAGTATGATGTGTTAAAACCGGGTTCGAGTAACTTGCAGGATTGATTACATAATTACTGTGTTTCTTTTTGGTTTAACATGCACTGTGTTTGCATTCAATTTGCGTTATGCTCCACAAAAGCGTGGTGAAAATATGTTGGATTTGTTGGCACATGTAATTAGATTGCACTTGCGAATTATATCTATACTTACATATGTATGTACATATCAATACATACATTTTTATCTATGCAGATAGTATAGATGTTGTATTTGTATATATGCATATATGCTACAAAATATATGTATGCTTATATGTTTGTAAATTTACTTAATACCACTCGGGGTTATCACGTAACACAGGTAGCCAACACTGACAACAACACCATAAAGTACAAAACAATAATAAATTGGCTTATAAACGTTTCATTTATGCAAAAAAGAGTAAGCGCACGCACCAACACATTTGTTTTGCCTCAATTTTTTTTTTATTATTTTGAAGGCGATGCATACGTTTAGATCATATAACACACATACACACACGCATACACGCATACACAGAGTACCATAAACAAAGGTATTTTCTAATAGTGATGAGTTTAAGATATAATATAAACACTTACACACTTACACACTTACGTGCTTACAAATTCGGATAACATGAATATTCAATTGGCTGTCTACAAAGTTCAAGAGTACCTAAAATTGAACGCGGTCATGGCTCTACTTTGCGCACATTTATGGAAAACAAAGCAACACACAAAGAGACATACTTGTAATAACCCTAGATACCTTTTCAAGTTCAACAAAACAAAACCAGTATATTGACCTCCACCCTCTTATGAAGAGCTAGCTGGGCATTTGGAGTGGTAACTTTTTATGCAGTTCGATAAGTTTTTATTCATAAAAACATTTACACAAAACATATGTACTGTGAGTAGTCTTTTTCGTGAATCATAATATATATAGGTCGGGCGTTGTTGTTGTTGTTGTAACCTCAAATTATTTCCCGAATTGGTTTTTGGGGAATATTGCGGGAGTGGCAGTCCTTGGCCGGATAAAAATCCGGGTCGTTCCGGTAGAAAGATCCGACTGTCGCGGGAACTATTGGATTTTAGTCGCCTCTTGCGACAGGCGGCATGCCTTACCACGGGTAAATTCTTGAGCCCCTAACCCGCAGGGGTCATAGGTCGGACATATAGTAGCTTGGTGGCTATATAATTCGTGGTCCCAGACAATCCTAAGAGGCAATTGGTTTCTTAATATATATTAGGTGTAAAAATTATTTTTCCAATGGATGACGTTATTTATCTGTATCTCGCATTGTATAAGTCCGAGTGGACTGCAGCATTTATGCTGAATTCCAGGACACAAACCAGGAAACGATCAACTATGTTAAGTGCCATCCGTCTGGCAACTGAACCTGTATATAACTGTAAATGAAATACGAAAATAGCTAAAATCGGAAGTCTTGAGCTACTTCAGCCATAGGTAAAAGAATCCCCTCTGGCCAATCTCAGGAGAATGGCAGTCGAAAACTTTTCTCACTTGCATAAACTTATACACTTCCAGTGTCCCATCCTGTCTGAATCCGTCGAAATAGCTCGTTACTTGAATCTACCTCCCAAGCGGGGTTACCTAGCTAAATCAACTAAAAGACAAAATATTTTTTTTTTATATAATTTCGATGTCTGTTATTCATGACATTTTTGGAGTATCTTTGGTGCTAAGGAATAAATTTAATTCAGGTCTTAAGAAACTGAAACTGCAATCCTTTTTGTCAAGCCTCATTAAAACTAATCTGCGCATTACGGACTATATTAAGACTAGAAAGATTCCGGAATTGTTTTTTTCTTTCGATATCCACGGTTTAATTCATCATGAATTCGTTCCAGTGGGACAAGCGGTCAATGAAGAGGGTTATTTGAGCGTTTTGAGACGTTCGCGCCAACAATTTCCGGAAACTTTCATGACAAAAATGTGCCATCGCATCGAGCTGTAGTTGTAAACGATTTTCAGACCAAAAACTCGTTCAATACCATCGATCAACCAGCGTATTCACCGGATTTGGTCCTATGTGGCTTCGTGGAACCTGTTTCGACTCGAGAGAACTGAGGTCGATTGATTGACAGGTCGCGCTCATTTTTGGCATATTAATTAAGGACAGTGCTACCAAATTAACAAAAAAAAAAGTATTGGAAAATATTCAGCGCGTGCAGTTTAAATGAAAATTTCCGGAAACTTTCTGGTCTTAATGTATATTACAGATTTATGCATCTATATATAGAAACGATTGCATCTATATGTGTACATGGAATGTTTGTAAGATGTTTCGTAAAAAATGGGCTTTATTCAAAATTTTAATTACTTGCTCACGAATTAAGCTTGTACTTTTATGACATCACTTGTGTTAATTGACTCCAATTTTTTTTTGTATTTATTTTTGTTTTTGGAAATGCCTGAAAGTAAGAGCTGCGGCTGTGTCTGCTCGACCATTTGGAATGTACAAACACACTGTACTCTTTCAGTTATTCACTTTGACCAAACTTGTATGCGTATATTTTGGTGGTCATTTTGATGCCAGGCTTACTAGTTTCGATTTTCTTAATTTCCAAAGTACAAAGGGTGTTGTTTTTATACATGTGATGGCCAAGAATTTAGCTTTACTATAAAAATTTGTTTTAATAATGATTTCGAGCAATTGATCGCCGCAATTTTGAGCTGTTGGTGCGATTACATTTCAGCTGAGAGACCTAATTTTCGGCCACTTTTTGCAGCAACTGAGGCTGAAGATTCTCTTGCAAGACGTCAATCTTTTCGGGATTACCTGCATAGAAAATCGGCTTCATATAACCACAAAAAATATTTCAGTGGTGTTAAATCGTGCAATCTTGGAGGCCATACCACAGACCAATGACATGAGATAATGCATTAGACAATAGTTTTCTTCAATAAATTGATTCCTTCGTAGGCTTTATGAATGTGGCACCGTCTTGTTGGAACCAAAGGTCGTCCTTATCAATATTCTACAATACAATTTAGGCGCGGAAAAAACCATTAATCAGGGCTCTATAGCGTTTCCAATAGACTGTAACATTATGGCTGACTTTATTTTTGAGTAAACAAGGCCGCTCTGTCGATAAAGCACAACAAAATTGTTTTTTTTTTTTATTATCATCTCCCCAAATACGGAAATCTCAAAGAAAAGTGAGTTTCTTGTGAAAATTGGGATCGGTTGCCATCTCGTTTTGGGCCCATTGATGGAATGTGCGATGCGACCATCAACGTTCGGCTTCAATTCTTACATGAGCTGGCTCTACTAAGCCCGCAAACCAAGATCCTTCTGCGAAATCTGTGCTATGACTGATGAGCTCATTTGACTCTTCTTCTTCGATAACTTGCTCCGCTCAGCAGCGATTAGCGTCTTCGGTGCGCACTGTCCGGCGTTCTGAGGAAGCGCACTATCCACTAAAGTACAGTGGTGCGAAATCGCTCTTTGGTTGTTCGAATTACAAACTTTGCTGGGCGCTTATGTCGACCGAATGTTACACGCGGCGTGTGATGTGACGCCCGAGCTGAACGATTATTTTGGTTATAAATTTGCACGATTTGCAAACGTTGCTCTGGAGTGAGTCTCTTCACTATGAAATGGTAACATTTCTGAAAAAAGTACACCCTTTATTTTCCATACATAAGTTCATACATACATACATACATACATATGTACGTTCATGGATTATGCGCGCGTTCATAAATAGGCCATATTGCAGCTGTTTGCATTACCTCCAACAGACTTTACCGTCTAAGTGAACGCCTGTACTTACATACATATATAGATACATACATATGTATGTACGTGGTCTTAACTTTCGTTACGCTACTAAAAAGTAGTATTATCCGTTGATGTTGAGCAATTGCAAGCGACGACAATGTCTTACACATTTATTCGACTATTCGAACACAAACTTATGTGTGTGTATGGATGTACAAACATACCCACATACATACATACATATATTGCATTTTTAATATACACCCAGATTGTCAGTGTTGGCATAGAATGGCGTTAAAGCAGTGCGCGCGCGCAAGGCATTGAACTACACGCAAAACAATTCATCAGATAATTAGATTATTGAACTAGACTCACACACAGCAATTTTAGCACGAAAATTCAAATAAAAATTGAGTAAAATAATAATTCGTTTCTACTCATTTACTCATATGCTTTACTTACATATACATACATAGGCTGATAGGTATAGATACAACGGCTAAATGTATGATTTATACGGTTGCTTATCGCGAGCATAATTCGGGTCTGACCTTGAATTGATCTAAATCAGATTTAAGTGATACTGGTCATACGTAAAAATCACTAAATTATTTGTTGTTCACTTACCTTTTGGCGCCAGATCAGATATATACCAACTTTTCCTACTAGAAATAGCTGACACGGTCCGGGAATTGACCAACCTCATATTTTAGGTCATGTAAGAAGTTCGTTCGGGTTTTTAGTGATTTGTCCGCTTTAAGTGAAATATGCGCCGTTTGTTCGTAAACTTGTTGCCAACGAGATGCCAACTTTATTATACCAATCTCTTAGAAGGCTGCGTCCCTATTGGCAAAAATCTCGGAGAGCCAATTTTTACAGGCCAACTTCTCACCATTAAGGGCGTTCACCATGGACATGAAAAGATGGTAATCACTTGGTGCCAAGTTCGAACTATAAGGCTTTCTGGCTTATCTTTAGTTCCTCAGCAATTAAATTAGCGCTCACGTGACGGTCTGTTTCCACTATTTCCATGATTTTACCGCAATTTTCTAGGTCAGGCCTCCCAACGCGTGGTGCATCTTTGGCATCGAAATTACCGGAACGGAACCTAGCAAACCACTTTTGTGCTACACGTTCGCTTACAGTATCGGGCCCATAAACTAAATTAATTTTTTCAGCCGCTTTGGCTTCTTTTTCGCCTTGATCGAAGAAAAATTGTAAAATTTGGCGAATTTTCTCTCTGCTGGTGTCCATCTCTGACGAGCGCTCACAACAGGCCTGGAACTGAGGGAAAGGTGGATTAGATGAATTGATTGATTTAGAGGGTATTTGGTTTGTGCTGTTTTAGATCTCATTGCAAGCAGGGTATATGTCGGGGTCAAGTCGGAAGTCTCCTCGAGGCTTTGGGATGTCCTCGACTGAAGCATCCCAGCAGATTTTGATTTTTTTTTTTTTTGAGGATAATCAGGTGTGTCGGTAACAACAGGGGCGGTATGCTGACATGCTTCTAGCATCTTTATTTGCGTCTCGCTGGTACCCGGCATAGCGTAACTTACGACCGACCAGCCAATTGCGTTGTATATTGAGTTTATTTGTAGATTAATAAAATCTATATAAACTATTGAAAAATCATTCATTTGTACCTTATTTTAAAAATTTTGATTTTTTTTTTTTAATATTCTTTTTTGCTAATAACATATTTTCTTTCCTTTAATAGGGTTTTACATACGTAGCACCATCTATCCTAGAGGACATGCAACGGGCGAATCGCATGCCAGCACGATCCCCACGTCGTACACCAAGGCAACATCACGAAGGATCTTACCGTATGCAATTTCCACCGCAACGTGGCATGTATCCACGTGCAACGCCACCACATTTGCAAGCCTTCCCGCCACGACCATCACCCCAAGACGAAATGATGGATGTACAGGGAGTGCCCATAGTGTAGTTAAAAGCCGAAGGCAACGTCAAATCAACCTTGGCGGTGGCCAATGCAAGAGCTAAAACTAAAACAAATACGCGGACAAAGAAAACTAATAATGATGGTGGTAGAAATACAAAGGAGGAGGAGAATGATGCGAACTAAACAAAATAAAATAAAACATTTAATAAAATTTACTATATTTAAACTATGAGCAGAGAAAAATGGAAACTGATTTTTAAACCACATCAAAAATAAAGAAGCAACTTATGTTGCTTATGATTATTTATGCAAGAGACAACAACAATAGCAATCACAAAAGTCGTTGAAACAAAAGAAACATTGTAAAGTAAGCATAAGATATGACGCAGGAAAACTTAATGAGGTTCATTAAACGTAAAGATGAGCAAAGTAATGTATAAAAAGTAAACTGCATACGGGAGATGCGAGGAGGCGGGTTAGCGATCTCGTCGTCATCAGCGCAGTTGGAATTCATTTGAGCGCATGCGCAACAAATAAAAATAATAGATTTAATAGTTTCTATGATATCAAATGAAGAATAATAATAATTAGTGGTTAAAAACAAAGGAAAAAAAGAAACAAATTCAAAAGAAAGAAGTGAACAACAGCCATTATTAAGGTTAACATTATGAAATCTATTTACATATACACATGCATTAATAGATATAATTCAGTTGCAAGATAAACAAAACGTCAACAAGTAAATAAGTAAAAATTCAAATATATATAAGTAAAAGAATGTAAAAAAAAGAAGAAACATATAGTCAAACTTTCGTACACCGTCTTAATTTTCGCCGCATTACGCGTTGTTGCCGACCGGCGCGGAGTTTTACATTTTGTAGTGATTCCGCCTACTGTATCATCAAACGCTTTTTTATTTTGCATTTTTTAAGACATGTACATACCTACAACACAATGCAAAATATTGGAAAAAATTTAAATAAAAGAGCCAACAACTCTTCTGTCCACACCAACACTATTAGCTATATACATATGTACGTATACTAGTTGCCTAAAACAGCGGATATAATAAGTATGTCCACAGACAAATACGTATATGTACGATGATGGCAACTGCAGTAACAACAAAAAAAGCGGCAATCTTGTAATTTGGTGAAAATTCGAGCGTTTAGAATAAATGTTCAGTCCACTTTACTTAGTTCAATTTTGTTTATATATGTATTTGTATATTTTGAAAGATAATGTAAACAGTCAGTCAACATAATTAATAAACTAATATTAAAAGAATGAATAATATAAGTAAAGATTAAAGGATATAATATAAATAGTATGCTTTTAATTGAGATGTGAAGGTGCCACAAAAATAAAAAATTAAATAAAAAACAATACGAAAAAAATTAATTTAACAGCGGCTAATTTGTAAAAAAAAAACATAAACCTTATTTAAGTAAATAAAAAGATTATTTAATAAATAACATTTACAACTTCTATCAAGTTGGTCATGCCAGTAACTGCATACTGCATCGGAACATATAGTAATAGTGAATATGTATGTATATCGAATTTTCATGTTCGAAATGCATTATACGTGTATATTCGCTAAAATTAATTTGCGTGGATAAAAATGGTTCATATTAACATAAGGATTTATATTTTCAAAACAGCGTATAAAAAAAATTTGCGATTTTAAACGACGCTGCGTTGTAAATTTCCAAGCAATTTTAGAATCAAAATAATTTATTATTGAAATTTAAGTTGAGCTCAATAAAAATTTGAGCTTCTTTGGTTACTATCACAAAATATAAAATTGATTTATTGCATAATTAATATTTGAGTAAAAGTTTAAAATAACAAAAGAAAATTTTACTTTAAATCTTATTTTATTATGTAAAAGTTTTCAAAATATATGTACATACATAGCTTCAAAATATATTATACTCTACTTAATAAAATGGTTTCAAGATTTCATTATGACTTTTTAAATTAAGAAAATATACATGTATACATGCGTAGAATGCATACATGTTAGCCTCTTGAAAGTGTCATAACTCAAAATTATTATTCATATTATGTTATTGTATAAATAATACTTTGATTCCTCGCAACAATAAAATGGAAGAATAAAACATAATTATTAAAATATATTAGCTAAATTTTTTTTAATTTTATTTTTTTCAAACTTAATGTAGTAACGCTATTTTATAACTGAAATATAAGTTACATTAAATTGTACTACATATCTATAATAATAGACTTTTCACAAAGTCCTTTAATTTTAATCAATTATTATACTGTCAGTCGAAAATAACATTTTGATTAAATTAAGGGATTTATATGAAAAATCTATAGCATTAAACTTGTGCATAATTAATGTTCTTTGAATATTTTATATATGTATGTACTATATTTTGAGTTGTTTCGCGATCATATAGCGTTTTCCATTCTCCGCCATTATGCAGAATGTTTGCGTTGTTATATTGAACCAAGTGATGAACGTTTTTTTTTTCATACAGTGAATTACTTCCATAATAAATGAAACTACTTGTATAGCAAAATATATTATGAAAAAATTATGAATGTAAAAAAAGGAAAATAATTTTTTGTTCTACAAGTTTTTTTTTGAAGAAAAATTTCTCTAGTGTAAAGTTAAATTTACGGATGATTTCTTGAAAATTTATTTAGTTTATCGCCCATTTCTTAACACAAATTCTTTTTTTTTTTTTGAATAAAAACTTATGTACGTATGATATATTCATGTCTATAGATATGTATATTATCAGCTCAAATGCATATTGTCATTACTTACCGAAAAATCAAAAAAATAACATCGAATTGTAAACCAACAATAATTTTATCAGTAATAGTTAAAAACGGATTTCTTTTTAAAAATCTTTTGGCGCTTACTGTAACAAACAAATTTGGTTACCAACGTTTTTTGCCACTGATAATGATACATACATACATTTATTATATAAACATATATGCATAAAATAAAGAAACAGCCAAAATTTAGCATGCATTCAAATGAGATATGCAATATTTATAACTATCGAAAAATGGAATAGTTTATTAATGCTTCTATCACTTTCTAATATTATATTATTTACCAAACACTTTGATATAATTTGGCTTTTAATGCATTAAAATATTTGCGAAAACCTCAAGTTGTGATGTGAATTTCACAAAAAAAAAAGAAAAAACGAAAAACAAAAATATATCAAAACTCGTTTTTTTAGTACATTGAAATCAAATTTAGGATATAAATAACAAATTCCTTGTTTTTTTTTTAAATTCTTTTGACAGAATACATTTTAATTGGCATAAAACCAAAAGTACGATGTAAGAAGTTGAAACAATTGAAATATATAAAGTGCATAAGATTAGATAAGAAAAGATTTTTAATAAACATATAAGAGACAAATTTGTGAGTAAATTTTTATTGAACCTAAGAACCTAAAAATCTAGTGCATATGTGCATACACACACTACATATATGCAAAACATTTTGTAATGTCACAAAATAAGACATTTCTTATCAACAAAAACACTGAAAATGAAAATATAGCGCTAGCAAAAACAAAAAAAAAACCCTACTCTAAACATTTTTTTTTCTGTTTGATATTTTAACACTTACACTGCAAGTATGCTTATAAACAAGGATTTGTTGTGAAGCGTTTAAATTTAAATAGAGCAAAAACAAATTGGTTATTAGTCAACACAACTGTAAAATACCATTATAAGAAGCAGTATAATGCATAATTAAAAAAAAAAACAAGTTTACTTACTTAAAATCGTTAGATATTAATGTACATTTTTATACAAAACATTAAAGAAAAAACGAGTAAATATTAAAAGATATAATAAAATTATTGTTAAAATGAACTGAAATAAATTTTAATGCAGTAAAGTGAATTTACTTGCCAAAATGAAGAAAAAATCGATAATAAAATAGGAACAACAATTGAATAATGGATTTTTAAATTTACTTTCAAGCAAAAGAAAAAAATTTACTAAAAATAAAGAAAAACTGGGAAACATAATATAATAGAAAGCTTATTTTTACTCATTTAAATTGAAACAAAATGATTTAAATTGAAACAAAATTCAGAAAATCGTATGGATTTTCATCTAAGCGTATAAATGCCAAATTTAAGTTTCGTTAAATCGGCAGTTTTCATAGAAAAATCAAAATTAACTAGACCAGTGTACGTTTAGAGGCATTTATACCGTTAGATGAATACCATTCTATTATAAATAAAAAAGAAATTTCTCACTACAAAACCTTTTGAAACGATAATTGTTTGCGCGCACAAATGTATTACATTAATCGGCATTATATTACATATTTCGACAAATTGCGAGTAGCTAATGGTATTGAAAATATACTTTTAGTTTTTAATTAAATCTAAAACGTATATTTAGACGTAGATATGGCGTTTAAACTTTAATTTTTATTTTATAACCTTTTTTTGGAATTTTTTTTTTTTTTTTTTTGGAACTCGCAGTGTAGACCTACACATATATACATACATACATTTAATTTTGATAAAATCGAAAGGTGCTAAACTTATTTAAGCGTAAAGCAAAAACAAATAAAAAACGAAAATAAATACAAAAATCAACTACTACAACTAAAATAATAATAAATTATCTCGACGAAAAATATAGAAATGTACTATATTCAACCAGATACATTCATACATACATACATGCATACATAAGTAACTTAACGCAACGTATGTATGTATGCAATAAAATTCCTAAATTTGCAAATGAAGAAGTGAGCAACAGCAACAACGTTACAGAAAATACCTCAAAAGCAATTATTTTTGTTACACAAAAACCGTTTATGTATAAAAAAAAATACATACATACCTAAACAAAAGAAACTAAAATATGCGAATGCAATTGAAGTACCACAAAAACAATAGTAGTTTGACGAAAAAAAAGAAAACAAACAAACAAACAAACACATACTGCTTAAGAAAAATGAATAAATTGTATATTTTTGTAGTTACAATTTAAATAATTTTTACGATATTTTACATTTTAAATTGAATACTTTTGTTTTGTTTATAACTTTTTATATATGTATATGTATACACGTATTTCTTCTTTTGAACAAAAATTGAAATGTACAGCAAAAGTAAAACAAAGCAGCGCTACTAAACATGTACATAAATAAATACACAAAACATGCTTAATAAATTGTTACACAAACATACACAAACACATGCGTAAAATTTGCATACACGTGCATATAAGAAATGTCTTATTTTTATTGTATGTATATATATATATTTACTATAATATAGACAAAAAGTAAATGCTGAAATGAAAAAATTTACATACTAAATTTATAATGTTTATAGAAAATTAAAAATAAAATAAGAAAATATACAAAAACAAAGGAAAAAATGTAAAATTGTTTGTTAATTTAAGCGTTTAACTTCTGCACACAACCAAATCACCATAAACATGCGCGTCGCTTTAAGGATTGTGAGTGACAAACGACTTGTTGGCTCTATTTATTTAAATACATACATACATATATTTATATGTATATTTTATAATAAATTCAAATACCGATGCATCAGCAGCGTATTGGTTTTTGCTCCGTTTTATTTGACTTGTATACATACATATATACATACATATTTATATTGAATTTACGCTTTTCTTAAAATCGAATGTCCTTTTCATTTCTGGTGCTTTGTCTATTTCAAATTAAGCCTTACATATTCGTACTCGCCCTATGTAATGTCTTCCTCTGACGCCATGCATCTTCTTTCTTCTTAATACTAATTCATTTACCAAGAGCTTATCACAACTGGTGACCATAACCTTCCTCGATATAAAGAAAAAAAATATAAAAAAAAATAAAAATAAAATAAACAAGTAACAGCTAACTGCTGTTTGAAAGAAACGAACAACACTGCCTTTGTTCTCAACAGTCAATACATGCAAACAAACAAAATATGTAGCACCTATATTTCAATGAAATTTAACATGTGTGTGTAACATACATTTAGGGGCTAGGCAAAACGAAAAAAGAAGAAAAATGTAACAAGGACAATGGTATTAAACAGAAAGGTTTATTAAATGACATGTACATAGTTAGTCGTCAAAATGATAAATATAAATATAAATATATATATATACTTACATATATATATATATATATAAATACTTATATACAAAGCATACATACATACATGTATATTTATGTATGCACGTAAATTTAAATTGTTAAATAACGTTTCGAAAATGTGAAATATTCCTGTATGCAGAAATGAGAAGACTATAAAAATATGTAATATATAAAGATCGGAATAAAATATAATAATGTATGTACATATATAGATGCGTAATCAATTGGGCGGTGGTGTAAGAATTATGGGCATTTTCATTGTCTCAATTTCATAGTCGCAAGTTTGCGGAAATTTTATTTTTTGCTATTTGGAATATTTTTTTAGTTTTCTGAAATTAAAAAAAATGAAACACATATATTGGATGAGTGCATAAGTTCGTGCCCGATTTCAAGTGCAAACTAAAATTGAAATTTTTTGAAGAAAGCGCTTTTATTAATCAATTATGTATTGTGTGTGAAGGTGTTTTTTGACGTCTTCCACATTTTTAAATTTTTTTCCATTCAAATTGTTCTGCAGCGATCGAAACAAATAATAATCAGAAGGTGCAATGTCGGGTGAATATGGGGGATGCGGCATGATTTCCCAATTCATCTCCTTCAGTTTGGCCAGGGTCGGTTTTGCAACATGTGGCCTGGCGTTGTCATGATGGAAAAGAACTCCTTTGCGATTGGCCAAAATCGGACGTTTTTCATCAATTGCTTTCTTCAATTCGACCAATTGCTGACAATACTTGTTGGCAGTGATCGTTTCTCCAGCTGGCAAGAGCTCAAAATAGATCACGCCTCGGATATCCCACCAAATGCACAGCAGTACCTTCATCGGATGCAATCCACCTTTCGACATCGGTTCCGCCCCTTCGTGTGCCTGTTTCCATGTTCTTTTGCGTTGAACATTGTTGTACAGGATCCATTTTTCATCACCAGTCACGAGCCGATCCAAAAAAGGTTCGTTTTTGATCCGTCGAAGCAAAGAAATTGCTGTTGACATACGGTCCACTTTGTTTTTTTCACTCAACTGATGTGGCACCCATGTATCGAGCTTCAAAGTGTACCCAACCTTTTTTAAACGACGAAACGCAGTTGATTTGTTGACGTTCAATTCACTGGCAACCTCTTCCGTCGAAATACGTGAGTTATTCGCAACTAAAGTCCTTAGAACATCGTCATCAAGCTCAGAAGGCCGTCCACTGCGAGGTTGATCTTCGAGGTTAAAATCTCCAGAACGAAATTTCGCGAACCATTTCTTTACTGTGCGGAGTGCTGGAGCACGGTCCAAATAAACTTCGCGAATATCTTTAGTTGCAGCGCCTACTGTTTTTCCTTTGCGGAATTCGTATAACATAATATGACGCATATGATCTTTTTCGTTGTCCATCTTCCATGCGTCTTTTCACTAAGCAACTCAAATCAAAATGAAGTTATTTTATGCTTGATTTACAGTTCGGACTGTCACCTTTCCAACGATATATAATATGTATATATTTCTTTCACGAGCGCCATTCTCAAACGACTCGAACGGCATCCAGCGGAATCGGGCACGAACTTATGCACTCATCAATATTTGTGCATTTCTGAAATAGATTTATGTTTATTTAATTTATATTTGATTAGTTAAATTCTTAATTTGTACGTTATTTGTAGCCATGTATTTTCCACTTCTCCTCGGAGCTGATCTGATTGTAATTTTCAATATTAGATTCCGAAACCTTTATGTGATGCGAGTAAATATCCTTTCTGTGCTATCTCACAGTCAACACGCTATTTCGTAAGATAATAAACACGGGTAGTGACGCCGTGGCATACGCTGACGAAAGTGCTCTCACAATCACTGGAAAATTCCTCTGGATTCATGAGATCTGCTCATAAATGCTCTTTACACAGTAAGTAGCTAGCAAGCTAGTGATTGCGGTCTGGATACAAAATTTTCAAAGACCAAGCTGGTGCTTTTTACTAGAAGGTACAAGCCATCTGTTTTTAAACCACCCTTACTCAAAGGCATCGACATCGCTCTTTCTATTGAAGTTAAATACCACGGTATAACCTTAAGTAGCAAACTCACTTGGAACCGGCAGATGGTAGAAAGGTGTAAGAAAGCTACGACCGCACACTACGCCTGCACGTCTGCGTTGGGTAGGACCATATAGTGTGTACTGCCTATACAAAACGGTAATAGGACGCATAAGACTCGTTTTAATCTATGGAGTCACCGTCTGGCGGCCATCACTAGAACAGGAGTATGCTGGAATTATTGTAGTACAGCGGAATACAGATGGGCTGCCCTCAACTCCTACGAAAGCCTTTGAAATTTAGCTTTTAACCTCTTGATTTAGAAAGCTATATACTCTTCTTCCAAACCCTGAGAGGTCATCCCTTATATCTAGTCCAACTATAGAATTGAAATTAAGCAAACGGATATAACCAAAATCGTCTAGCAAAAAAGTGGAATTGACAATAAAATCGTTCCAATCATACGAACCTGCAGGGTTAGATGCCAGCTAAAAATATATTGCCTACGCTAGGATTACATTTTCCATTTGTGACCAAAATGATGAGGTGGGAGTAAATTTTGCAAAAAAAGGTACAGAAGCCGATCATGTGAATCCGAAGGACATCAGACATTTGTAACCGATGAAGCGATTTTCGGCCGAGTTTCTCCTCCAATTTGCGGTGAGCTTATTGATCTTTTTCCTGAAAGGGGACGGACCTACTACTTTGTTCTTCGAACGGCTGATATTTTTTTATTACGAGCCTTTATTTCATGTCAGAAATATATTCGGAGAGGTTGGAATTCACTGCTGTCTAAACAACTCCTAAATTCGGTATTGAAATATTTTTTTCACAAGGATTCCAATTTAAATTCCTTAGATAAAGGAGCAATAGTCGGCGGCTAACTCAATGAGACAAAAGGTATGTGAGATCCACTCCCCATGACTAACACTAAGCTTAAGCATGGGACCACTGAACCACTGCAGCGTCCACTAAGCAAAGCTCTTTATATTCTGACAGCCAAGTTGTCAGCAGAACTCTTTACTGCAACTTTGCCACGCCAAAAGTGCCAACAAAATGTATTGTGATTCTTATCATTTTCAAGTGATTTCAATCCTTTTTATAATTTAAAATATATGTTAGTAGTTGTTATTGTTATTATTAAGAGTGTAAATAAACAAATAAGGCAAATTTTTACATTCTAGAAAGGGTATTTATGGTTCACTTTAGTATCTGGCCCACTTTATCATTAAAAATCTTCTGTATTAAGGCCAATTATTCAAAAAAAGTGTTTTTTCAATCAAATTTTATATATTAAAAATATATATATATATATATATCAATGTTTTTGTAGATAATAGACTTATAAAAATATTAATTAAAAAAATACAATTTTTTTTATTGGCGGCTTTTAAAATTGCTGCTGAAACACGTCCCTTCTGTTGGTGAGTGACAGGATAACTGTAAAACGAAACACCTGAAAGCAAAAAATCAAAACAGCTTCTTATTCTGTATCACATTGGCTATAGCTGGAACTATAATGAAACATTTTTATAAAAAAAAAAGAAATGGCGGACTTTTCAACTTTTTTGGTTCTTTTTTCAATTTGAATTTTTCAAATAACAATGAATAATTTTGGTTGCATTACCGACCACAGAGAGATATTTTAGGAGCAAAATCCGTTTAGTTCATGTCAGTGTCTCCCAGTTGAAAAAACGAGGTTTCGATAAAAAGGGGATTCAAGTACTCGAGCGGCCGAATTAAGCGTTTGGCGCTCTCCTTACTTCTATACTACTTACTGGTCTTGAGAACTTTCAGGTCTAAGAGTATTTTCCAGCAATTTACAGTAAGATAAAATTAGATCTTTTTTTTAAATTTTTGAGAGGAACCTCACCTTGAGCGAATGTTGCGTGTACTGGTTTTCTATTAATCGAATTTCCTATTTTGTGGTTGCGATTACTACGAAATTCGTTAAAAAGAATTCTTTTGCACATAACAGTATGTATTCAGGTGTCTATATGTAGCTATATGTATTGTACAATTATATGCGTTCTTAAAAATTTACATTTGCATTAGAATTGCGACAGCCTTGTAGGAAAATTCATGAGACGAAGTGAGCTACAAGAAAATTAGATTGAGATAGATTGCCCCAAACCACCTAAAGTTGCCGTTTCGTAATCAAATTGCTTGTTTCATATAATTTTACAAAATAAAAAAAATCACAAATATATTTCTTTAAAAGCGTTTCAAAAAAGTCTAATTTCATTGGCTGGAAGTTTTAGAAGAATTTAAAAAATATAGATTAACCTTGAACACTTGCTACTACTGGTGGTTTGAGTCCAGACAAAATTTCTGATAATATATATATAAAGGGTGTTATTTTCGACATATGTTGCTTAAGAAGAAATAAATCGCGTATAATTTAATGTTATGACCAATAATTTAGCTTTATTATATAGATAAGTGTTCGTCATTATGGTTTAGAATTGATTTCGGGCAACCGCCACTCAAGTAAATTTCAGCCTGCAGGCCCATTTATCGACCACTTTCAGGCTTAACTACGTAGACAAGGGAATTTTATAACCCTGTAAAAAATATTCCAGCTGTTTTAAATCTTACAATCTTGGAGACCACACCACAGGTCCACGACGCGAGGTAATGCGCTCATCAAAAGTTTCCTTCAATAAATTGATTGTTTCGCTGGCTGTATGTCAAAGGTTGTCAGCATCTCTAACATTTTCCAATTCAGCCACAAAAAAATCAGTAGTCCTGGCAGTAGAATTATATTTTTCAATAAAAAATGGACCAATGATTCTCTCTGCCTCATTGACTATAACAGTAAAGCTGGCTTCATTTTGAAGTAATTTCCCTTAGAGCGCACCAAACATTGACCTTTTGAGGATGTTTCGGCGTCTCAGCAATGGCTTGCGGATTATCATCACTCTAAAAGCGATGGTGGATGTGGACTCATTGGGGTGCAGTGTATCGAAGCGCCACAGTAATTATAACGTCTTCGGTGCGCACCTTGAGGATAGATTTGTTTCGGAACAACAATGAAATCAAACTGAGTATAAATCAAGGAACAGGTGTCAAAACGACCAACTCTGAATAAGTATTGCTTCATTGAATGGACACCAGCAAACAGAAAATTCGCTATATTTTACAATTTTTCTTCGATTAAGACGAAAAAACAGCCAAAGCGGCTGAAAAAAAAATTAATTTAGTTAATGGGCCCGATACTGTAAACGAACGTGTAGCACAAAAGTGCTTTGCTAGGTTCCGTTCCGGTAATTTCGATGTCAAAGATGCACCACGCGTTGGGAGGCCTGTCGTAGAAAATTGCGGTAAAATCATGGAAATAGTGGAAACAGACCGTCACGTGAGCGTTTATTTAATTGCTGAGGAACTAAAGATAAGCCAGAAAGCCATTTGGAACCAGAAGATCTCGAAGCTCGGATGGGAGGTCCGAATGCACACACCTTATAGTTCGGACTTGGCACTAAGTGATTACCATCTTTTCCTGTCCATGGCGAACGCACTTAATGGTGAGAAGTTGGCCTGTAAAAATTGGCTCTCCGAGTTTTTTGCCAATAGGGACGCAGCCTTCTACGAGAGGGGTATAATGAAGTTGGCATCAATAGTTTTCAGTAGCAACTGAACAGCCGTTGGATTATTACGGAAAGCTTTTATTATTTCATGTAAGAACTACTTTCAGAGAAGCTAATATTTCCTGCCCAAGGGCGATAGTATTTTAAATTGTTTTTCAAACCCATGATTCTCCGCTTTTTTACCCATTCAGCTATAGCGACCGCATCTTCTTATAAAGATCCCTCCATCATATTTAAAGTAAAATGAATGAATGAACGAAAAAATGAAGAGCGTTTCCTGCAGGGTAACAACCGCATTACAAGCCATTCAACATTGACAATTTATTACTATTAAACAAAACTAAATTAATATAATCTTCTAGGCAACCACGCACGAGTTCCCGTATGATCGATAATATTTTATGTGCTCATATGTACATTAAGTTTTGTGTATTCTGCCTGCTCCAGTTTATTCGTTGTGTGGCAGAGTTTTTGACTTTGGAAAAAAATTTGTTGTTCTTATTAAAGTTCATAATTTATGAAAATAATATATTTTTAAAGAATTTTAACAGAGCCAGGAAAATAATAGCGTAAAACATTAAAAATGCTCCCAAATATGCGTACCCGACGCGCCGTTGGTCTCCATTTGACTGGCAAGGGATATGGTCCACAAGCGAAAATACCACCCAAATACTCAGAGGAAGATTGGGATTTCAACAATCACGTAAAATTTCGCATTACCTGCGATCAGGAGCGTTTAGCGGAACGTATTGTAGAGTATGACAATTGCGATATGTAAATATGTATATATAGTGAACATATATTAACCACGAACTATTTACATTTTCATTTAGGGAGTCTCAACGTGTGGTAGACGAAACCAAAGACACAACCAAGAATTGGCAACGTGAAGTAGAACATCACATGCGTGAACGTACCAGTGAGATCCGATTCTTGTTAGATGAGTTGAATAGACAAAAGAAAACTGCAATGCTGGAGGATGAGGCGCTGAATACATATCGTAATCGCGTACTTAATGCTATTGACTTTTTGAAAGAGAAATCATTGGCCATCAATCAGCGGTGTCAGATATTACGTGAGGGACGGATTGGCGTAGATCTGTGCGATGATGAAGTGGATCGGTGTTTGCGTCGTGAATTAAAGGTTATAAAGGGTTGTCAGTGTTTAATGGATCGTGCACTGAAGGAGGCAACCGAACAAATACGAAGTCTACGCGCAACAATGTATCTGTTGGATAAAGATTTGGCACAGAAGGACAAGTCACTTTTGATTGATGAAAATAATTTGACTCTCCGAGAAACTCAACGGAATATGGGGCATGGAAAAGATCTCTCTAATCTGGAATGGTAATATCTTATTGAAACAGTGTGTGTATGTATATATGTGGTTCATTTATTGATTAATTGTGGTGGCTACCGATCTGTCGTTTAGATTTCACTTAGGCCTGATTAAGACCCATTGTGATGCCACAAAAACTTGACCATCTAGCTTCATTATCCAGCCATTTTGATTCTCTAATGAACCTCTAGATCCTTGACTTTGACGTTGGCTATCATGGAATTCGAAACCTAGCCCTTCTTAAAGCAGTAGAATTGTATAAGAGATGGGTGACCGTTTACTTATTATTTTGGACCACATGTCCTATTGATTCGTTGAAGAGATTCTTATTCATTATTAGTTTCTTCTTTATTGGCGTACGTACAGCATACGCGATTTTAGCTGTTCTCGTTCCCTTGTCCTCGTTCACTACTTTATTCTTTTGCCTTGCCATTTTTGTCTAATCTTGAGGAAGCACTCGATAACTGCTTCAGCGAATTTCTGCCGAGCTCCTCCTACAGTATTTCATGACCATTTTCCAAATGGAATTTATTAATTTTTATAAGGAGCTTTTATTTCATGTAAGAAATATACGCCGAGATGTTGATATACCCTGCCGAGGGGTGATGACAGTTCAAAAATTTTACTTCAGTGGACGCCAATAAAAAAATTTTCAATATAATAAATATTCAATATAATTCTTAAGAAATTTTATATTTTAATATATTGTAATAGCAGTTGTTATATGTATTTAAAATTTTACAGTCGTTACTCACTGGGCGAGTGGCAACATCAGACATATAAAAACATTGAAGACAACGCCAAAGAGTTAAATTCAGCCTCACAGCTTCGTGCCTACATCGACTTGCTGTTAAAGCAGGTGTGTGAGGATATGCAAAATCAAACGGATCGCACTAATGAGGCTTTTGAGCGACGCATCGCCGAGATGAAACATGTCAAGAAGTGTTTAGAGGATAAGCACAATGACTGTATGATTCATATACACGAGATGCAGCGTAACATACAGCAATTGGAGAAGGAGCTTGTCGATAAGCAACGCTCCTTGACTCTTTGTCAGACACGATTGAGCAACCGAGCTCGTCGTCCGGGCCTAGAGCTGACCTGTGATAGTGTACAGGATGCACTCTATCATGAAATGGAAGCACTGCAGGCATCAATATGTAAACTGAATGTGAAGATTAATGAAAACAAAGCCTCTTTGCGTTATTTGCTTCACGTACAGATAATGCAAGAGGAGGAGATCAATATTAAGGCAAATAGTATCAAAATTGATGAAGTGGACTGCATGACTATTAGACAAGCTTTAAAATATCAATCATTCTAAATATCTTTGCACTTATACACATATACTTAAAATTAATCACCTAATGAAATTTTAGAAATTTCATCATCATATCATTGGAAAAGGGATATTCCATTGTGCATAAATTCTTAGAGAACATACCGAACACTGCCATGCATACATATCTACATTATATTACGCGTTATATTTCAAATAAAACCAAGTAGCTGCTTTATGGGCCAAATAACGTGTTTGTAATTGCTCTGGGATATACGAGTAGTTTGTGAGATTGAACGGCAAGATTTTTAATTTTCTAGAATTAATGTCAATTTGAAGTACCAAGTGACGTTGTCTAGAAAATTGTTTGTCTGAGTTGCTTTTGTGCCCTAATAAATCTAAATTCTTACAAAACAGCGTAGACTATTGTCTGCAAATTCGTTTTTCTAGTTATACATATATTGATGTTGTTGCTGTAGCGGCTTTTCGCTTTGGTAATCACTTTGTGCGAGATCCGAGCTATAAGATGGATGCATAATAATCTGATAACCAAGCTCTCGGAGCTTCTGCCGAGTCACTATCGATGTGTGTGGTCTGGCGTTGTTCGATGCTTCTTTCAGACAGTACAGGTTCGAATTTAGAGTTTGGCCGTAGGCGAGCTGCTCATAGTGGATGATTCCTTGAACCTTCCTGGTCGTCATTCGTGGCTTAGTTAACGTTTTGTGTGGGTTCATTGCTTCTCGATCACTACCGTTTTCATTTGATGTTGCTGTAAGTGAACCACTTTTCATGTCCAGTTACGATCCCTTTCAGCAGTGGTCGATTTTGATGGAAATTCAATCCACTCATACTTCGAGCTTCTCTGTGTATCCAGTATTTACATTTCGTGCCGTTTTCTTTATCGAAGAAATATTGTAGAATATAGCGAATTTTCTCTCCGCTTGAGCGAATGTAAAATATGGACACCAGATCTCTGACATGGGGTCAAACGTGTTAAGTGATCAACACTCTCCGATTATCTTTCTTAGTACAAAATTTCATCTTTCTAACGCGTGAGTGCCTGGGTCAACGCTGTCAAAATCGGTTCAGTGCATTTTATACTGCGTTCAACATTCCTTTTCCCCAGTTGTGCCGGCTAATGACTTGAGAATTTCGATGCGGCTCTAAACTTTTTTGCAATCTTATTCATATTGGAAGTGGCTCCTACTAACTTTGCTAATTTATAATCGGATTTTAACCGTCATCGACATTAGCATTCAGGTACAGACCATTTTTCTTGGTGAGAAGGGATCTCGTAGATTTCATTCTTTGCAGTTGTAGCCTTTTGGACAATGGTTTTCAATATCCCGGAGCTTACCAACTTCAAGAACCATATGAGAACATTTGGTGGAATTGCATAGCCGATAAAATAATGCCTTGGAACTATTTGAGCTATTTTTTTCACGTTACCTTAATCTGTATTATTAATCTCATACAGGTTTCTTTAACATTGTGCCGCCGAGCCGTCTGTAGCCTCTTAAGTGTTGATGCATAATGGAGCATAAGCGCCTTGCGTTGTTTCGATTTCAGCCATTCCGCGCTGCTACAATGAAACAAGTTTGATATTCCGACGCAGAATAGCAATGTACATAATTTTTTTCAGGTCATTTTGATTTCATCAACATATATAAATCATTTAGCGCGGTAAAAAAGGTAAGTTGTTGTTAGTAGCACAAAAAATCGATGCAAATCGTTGGTTATTTACCATAAAAAGCGTAGAAAACGAACATAGAAATATGAAGTTTATAAAACCCGGCACTTCCTTTAAACGCATGTATACATATATATACACATATGTAGTTACATTTCTACTTGGATTTCTATGAAAATATTAAAAGCCGTATATATTTTAGTAAGATGTCTAAACGTTCCGCTGACGATTCGGGGGCTGGTGGTAGCAACGTGGCTGCCACAAATCTTGGCCAGCCCCCCATAAAAAAGGTTCATTTTGAGCCTCACCTTATTGGCCCCGTGTCAACGCTTGAAGAAATGGACATTAAAGTATTAGAATTCCAAAATAAAAAGCTAGCGCAACGAATTGAACAACGTATGCGCACCGAAGCAGAGCTTAGGCATAGAATTGAACAATTAGAGAAGCGGCAGATGCAGGATGACGCTGTGCTCAATGTTGTAAATCGATATTGGAATCAATTAAATGAAGATATACGCGTGCTTTTGCAACGTTTCGATGCTGAGACTGCTGACGAGTCTGAAAATCGAAACGAGAATGAAGTCACCACATCATTCCTTACCCAGTTATCTACTTGGGATAAAGAAGAACTTGATGATAAACTAGCTAATCGGGTGCAAGTATCAAAAAGAGCAGTAGCAAAAATAGTACAAGTGATTGATCGCATAATGCAGCGTAATGAGAAGATAACACAAGCATTTAAAGAAGGTAATGGTGTTATTGGCGGAAGCAATTCGAATGCCAATGCAGAAGGGGAAGATGGATCTGAAAATGTTACTAATAATCTCTTGCCTAATATTGATGAGACTTTGAAACAAACACACATTGAGATTATGACAGAAAATAGAAATTTGCAAAGCTTGAATACCTCTTTGCATGAAAAGTTTCATACTATTTCATTAAAAATGAAAGAATGTCAGGATGCACTGACTGCTAAAGAGACCGAAAATGCTGAATTGAAAAATCAGATAGATGAGTTACAATATGACTTGGAAAAGGTGCATTGTCGTAATGATAAATTAGAAAATCATTTGGCAGAAGCCATAGAGAAATTGAAAGCTTACCATCAAATGCACGGCGATCCTAATAAAAGCTCTACAACGAGTAAGGGATCTGGAACGGCAAATGTTAATAGTCAACACTATGAAGATTTACAAAAAGAGTTGGAAGAATATCGCGAACTTGCCAACAATCGTCTACAAGAATTGGATAAATTACATGCAACACATAGGGAGACATTAAAAGAAGTGGAAAAACTAAAAATGGATGTAAGTATTCTAACTTGTATACTCATACTTAACTAAAATTTGAGTTTAATCACAGATTCGACAACTACCTGAATCAGTTATTGTAGAAACCACAGAATACAAATGTTTGCAATCACAATTCTCCGTTCTTTATAATGAATCTATGCAAATCAAAACCATGTTGGATGAAACTCGCAATCAATTGCAAACAAGCAAGAATCAACATTTGCGACAAATCGAAGTTATGGAAAGCGAAGAGTTGATTGCACAGAAAAAAGTTCGAAGTGAAATGATTCAAATGGAAGATGTTTTAGCACAGATTAGAAAAGAATATGAAACTTTGCGTATAGAATTCGAACAAAATATGGCGGCTAATGAGCAAACAGCCCCGATAAATAGAGAAATGCGGCACTTGATTACATCGCTGCAAAATCATAATTTACAGTTGAAAGGAGAGGTTCAGCGATATAAACGAAAATACAAAGATGCGTCGGCTGATAATGTGAAGGTTTGTAAAACAATCTATATTGCATATTTTATACGTTTATATGTAAGTATGTATATTAAATTTTTTTGTTAATTAATTTCAACTATACATAAATCTATCAATACATCAAAAATAATGTATATTCTAGTTACGGAAAGAAATAGAAGACACTATAGCCAAGTTGGAAGGCACTAAACAACAACCACCTACAGCAGAGGAAGTGAAGCAGGAGGGTGGAAATGTAGTTAAAGATGAGAACACTGCCACTGGCGCTGGAGCAAATGCTGGTAACAACGAATCATCAATGACTGTTAAGGATGAATCAGGTGCCAATATGAAAGGTTTGATGAATAGATTTGAATATATGCAGAGAAACTAACCAAAATATTACAGGAGAAGACGGTGATGAGGAAGCAAATGACCAAAAAGAGGGTATTAAGCAAGAAAAGAACGTGACAGGAGTAAATACCAACACAGGAGAAAAGAAAGATAATCAAGCTGCTGGCAGTATAAATGCCAATGCTGCCGGTGGTGTTGCTGCAAGTGGAACGCCATGTACAGCTATTGTTAAAATAGAAAAAGATGCGAAGGATTTGGCAAAAGCTAAGGAAATAAAATTAGTGGAATCTGAAATAGTACGTGATCTAAAGGCACAGTTGAAGTAAGTTAAATCAATTTTTATTTTTCTTGTAACTTCATTACCTTATTTTTTTATGTATACCAATTCCACCATAAATTTAAAATGAAAAAAAAAATAATTTTTTCAGAGTAGGAGTTGTAGCGTATAGCTACCATTTTAAATTTCCATATATATCACCCAGACTTTCACGAGAGATTTTTATTTATATTTATTTACTGAATCTACTTCGACGTCGGGGTTCTCACAGTAAGAAATAAACTAAATAAGCTGTGCCCCATAATGAGACTCCTTACATCCATATCGGTTTTATATTGTTTTCAATGCTTAGTCCCGATTTCTTTTTGCCTAAAAGCCAGTTTAAAGTAGATAATTTTAATGAATTCCGGTTTGGAAAATATGTTTCAGTGATATTAGTATCCTTAACGTTTTTTATTACACTTCCATAAATATTTGTATTTATATCTATTTATATATATATAGTTAATATCCCTTTTTACTAATTTGCAATATTAATTTGGTTTCAGAAAAGCGCTAAACGATCAAAAAGAAATGAAGCTTCTGCTCGATATGTACAAAGGTGTTTCAAAGGATCAACGCGATAAAGTGCAGTTGATGGCAACGGAGAAAAAACTTCGTTCAGAAATTGAAGAGTTGCGTCAGCAATTGAAAAAACTGCAGGAAAGTAAGAGAGAAGAGCGCAAAAAGTTAGCTGACGAAGAGGCATTACGCAAGATCAAACAACTTGAGGAGCAGAAATATGAATTGCAGAAACAGGTGGCCAGCCAGAAGCCGGTGGAAAATACTTGGGGTGGACCTGGTGGTGCTAATTATGCTCGTCCTTTTGTCGGCTCACATGAAGAAGAGGCACTGCTCAATGAAATGGAAGTAACAGGGCAAGCATTTGAGGATATGCAGGAACAAAACTCGCGACTTATACAGCAACTACGCGAAAAGGATGACGCCAACTTTAAGTTGATGTCCGAACGCATTAAAGCGAATCAAATGCATAATTTACTACGCGAAGAGAAGCAAATATTGGTGGACCAAATGTCTACCCGGGATACACAAATTGAAGCAATGCACATTGTATTGCGAAAATTGGAAGAGAAGGAGCGCAGCTTACAGGCCACTGTAGCCACTATAGAAAAAGAATTAATGTTGCGTCAACAAGCAATGGAAATGCACAAGCGCAAAGCCATTGAGTCAGCGCAGTCAGCGGCTGATTTAAAATTACATTTGGAAAAATATCATTCTCAGATGAAAGAAGCTCAACAGGTAGTTGCAGAGAAAACTAGCTCGTTAGAAGCGGAGGCGTATAAAACAAAGCGCTTACAGGAGGAGCTAGCCCAGTTCAAACGCAAAGCTGAACGCATGAAAAAGATTGAGATGGCCGGTAGTACTATTGATGAAGTAGTATTAGAGGAGATTCGTGAATATAAAGAGACTCTTACATGTCCTTCTTGTAAAGTTAAGCGCAAAGATGCGGTGCTTTCGAAATGCTTCCACGTCTTTTGTTACGATTGCTTACGCACACGTTATGAAACTAGACAACGGAAATGTCCTAAATGTAATTGCGCATTCGGTGCAAATGATTATCATCGCCTATATTTAACTTAGATTTTAGTGCTGTACTAAGTTACAAATTTCACTGGTAAATATATAAGTAAAGCTGATAGATTTTTGCTATCGAGAGCGCGAAAAAAGCGTTGCAAAAGTTTCATGTGGGCTGTTGCACTACTATAGTTTTCCATGTCTACTACATACAATCCATACGCTATATTTACAATTAGATATATGTATGCTTAATATGCATTAGTTATTGCAGTAAATATACTTTTATCTTATGAAGTCTTCTCTTTTGTTTTGGATATTATTTTGAATTCAGGTATTTGTAGATCATACAACTACTACCCAACTTACGCTTGCAGAATATGTCGTTCATCACCATCACTCAGGTTTTCGTTCTTTCTTAGTTTTTTTTTACGATAGTCGATACAAATTGCAACTGTATGTTTTCTTATGGGCGCATAGGCATATCCACTGGTAGTTAAAATCTATTAAAATATTTACAGCTATGGTCACGCAAATAGCACAAAGTGTATCATACGAGAAAATGTAACTCTTCTGAGGAACATAACGGTATTTTTCTGAATAAAAAAATGTATAATAGTTACTTATGTTATCTAGTTTACAGTGCGTTTCGTACATTCCCGTTATCCTATCAATCATATTTTTTTCGTCGATTTATCTGATCGTGCTATTAGTTAGTGGTGGTCACGCAAATAGCACAGTCATCGGTTGGATCTTGAAAGTATCTTTTTATTTATTTTTAGTGAAATTTAAATACATTTAAAGTTCAGTTCTATCAAAATTTACGCAGATTGAATTAAAATGGCTTGCGGTAAACACTGTTCTCCTTAAAAAAGAATCATTATTCATAACATGGCTAAGACAGGAAAAAGTGTTTCAGAAATTGCAGTTTTCTGGAATTATTCCCGTAAAATAGTACATAATGGCTTTAAACTGGTTCAAGAGAGTGAAGATTATCTATCTCAAAACAAATCCTAGGCACCTGCTCCGCGCAAGACAACGATTTTTGAAGACAGAGCCAAAATACGAAAAAAGAGGCTAGATCCTTTTAAATTTTCTAGGCAAAAAATGCTGAAAATAAACGAAGAATTCAATTTGGCTATATCAAGAAGCCATGTCGAAAGGCGTTTTAATAAGGGCCAGCTCTTTGGACGCATTACACGNTCTGATCATGCTGTTAGTTAGTGGTGGTCACGCAAATAGCACAGTCATCGGTTGGATCTTGAAAGTATCTTTTCATTTATTTTTAGTGAAATTTAAATACATTTAAAGTTTAGTTCTATCAAAATTTACGCAGATTGAACTAAAATGGGTTGCGGTAAACACTGTACTCCTTAAAAAAGAAGCGTTATTTATAACATGGCTAAGACAGGGAGAAGTGTTTCAGAAATTGCAGTTTTCTTGAATTAATCCCGTAAAATAGTACATAATGTCTTTAAACTGGTTCAAGAGAGTGAAGATTATCTATCTCAAAACAAATCCAAGGCACCTGCCCGCGCAATACAGCGATTTTCGAAGACAGAGCCAAAATACGAAAAAAGAAGCTAGATCCTTTTAAATTTTCTGGCAAAAAATGCTGAAAATAAACGAAGAATTCGATTTGACTATATGAAGAAGCCATGTCGGAAGGCGTTTAAATAAGACCCAGCTCATTGGAAGCAATACCCGCAAAAAACCACTCCTGTCAAAACGGCATATAGAAAAACGGTTAAAGTTTGCTAAGACGCCTGAGAACCGGGCGATAAGATTTTGGAATAATATGTTACGGACCGATGAAACTAAAATAAATAGAATGGAACCGGATAGGAAAACCACATTTCATCGCCAAAGAGGTCAAGATTTGAATCCTAGGTACAATAAAAAGACCGTAAAACATTTAGGCGGTAATATCATGATTTGGGGGGCATTTTCCTGGCATGGCATTGGACCAATTGTGCGGACAAATGGAAAAATAGACAAATATCAATATCTGGACATCTTAAAGAATGAAATGGAACGATTTGTATTTGACTCCATGCTACTTAATGGGACTTTTATGCAGGATAGTGGTCCTAAGCATACCGCGAAGGTCACACAAGATTGGCTTAAGGAAAATATTCGTATTTTGGATTGGCCTGTGCAAAGCCCAGACCTAAACCCAATAGAAAATTTATGGAACGATGTTAAAACAAAAATATCTGCAAAAAATTCGATGATTTGTGGGAGGACGTCAAGGGATAGTGGTACTCCATACCAAAAGAAAAATATGAGAAACTTGTTGAGAGCCTGGGACGCAGATGTGAAGCTGTTATTAAATATCGTGGACATACCACAAAATACTAATAGATAAGACCTACTTAAGACTAATAATGGTATATGATCTGGCATATTTGAACTTAAAATTACAAGTTTTGCAAAATGTGCTATTTGCGTGACCACATAATTTCATTAGGAACCTCAAACTTTCAATTATTTTAAACTTTCATTGAATTATTATTAAGTTTTTTTTATAAAGGTTGTGTTAAATAATAACTGAGTGAACACATCGTTACAATATTTTAATATTTTAAGCACAAATATCCCTTTGTTTCATTATTATGTATCGGAAGGAAAGTTGTGCTATTTGCGTGACCATAGCTGTATACTGAATATACCTTCCGCTTGTTTTAAATCCTGTCTCGGTTTTCTACAACGTACAAAATGCTCCGGTCCGCATCCGTCGCAAAAACTACAAGAGCAGCTATTGTGAGGTATTGGTGTTGTTAAATATGTGTTACGATGCATTGAAATATTTTTATCTAGTAATTATTACTTGCAGTTAGGCATCATTAAAAAGTGATAAAACTCTTAACGATTTCCTAAATTTTAATACAAGTAAAATTTTTTTTTTTCAACAACTAATTATATCAATGGTGCTTTTTAAAGTTCGTTTCCGCCATTTCATTTCCGAACGGATACAGTAGAAGTATGAGCAACGGCGAACTTTTAGCAACTCTGTATTTGGCAGAACAGGGCTGCATTTAAAGTAACTACGCATGCAATGATAGAGTTGGCAATACTATCAGGTGAAGTTATAACAAATTTGTAGTTGTAGCAAAGTAAGTTCAAAGGGGAAATTTTTATTTATTTTTAAATAAATGTGTTTAAAAATTAAATAAAAACGTTACGCAGTCACTGTGTACCAGAACACACATAAGTTAATTTAAAACACAAATTAAACATTTTAGCTTTAACACAAAAGCAACACTGAAATTGTGGATTGCCATCTCTTTCGTATTTTTAAAGCTTTCTTGCAACCCTGACAAATAGTAGCAGCTCGAGAGTTACTACTTTTTACCATCGAATTTTACAGTGCCAACATCAATCAGTCCTGTTCGGCATTGCATTTCTGTTCGATCTTCAACCGTGTGAGTATAATAACATGTTGTTGTAATTTGTACGTTGTTTCGATTCGTTTTCGGCTTTATTAACAATAACTTAAATGTGTGTTTTAAATGTATTTCTTGTCGTGCAAAAGGTTTAAAGATTAAACAAAATCAGTGAAATACTATAAATGAAGAATTGTTTGTGTAAAATTAGAATCAAAGTGAAGAAAAAATGTGTGGGTTTTGAAAGGAAGTTCAAGTCGAGTCGACTTCTCCAAAAACTGAAGATTAATTGATTTTTCAACCATTGGCGTATATGAGAGTGTTTGTGTGCGCAAAATACAGCTGCTGCAAATTCGTAGGCTGTATATAGTAGAAATTAGAAAGTAAATGTTTATTTCTAAGACAACTAAATCTTTTTCATATATGAGCAAAGTGATTTTTAGAAAACTGGGTTTTATATTTTTTTTTATTTGTGGTTTAAGTTGTTAAAAATAAATTTGTGTGTGTATATTGAACCCAACATAAATTAATTTAGTTTCCGACATTTATTTTTATATTAACATATATACATACATATGCATGTATGTATGGGATAAATTCTCATATTATGTATACTGTTTATACAACATTGTTGTGTACATAAATATAGTTAGGTAAAACTGGAATTACGATATCCTGTTAATTCTATTGTTGTATAAAACAGCAGAGAGCAGCTGCTGAAGAATCAGTCACGTACATATGTATGCACATACATAGAGAATGTTTCTTAGTAATACATACATACATCTACATTCTGCTTTCCACTTTGTCCTTGTCCTTGATAATAGTTCAAGCGACGCTTTGGCACGATAGGCCTTTGTCCATTGTCAATTAGTTATAATCTACAAGTATTGCAGTTTCGTATCGTAAGCTGTTTCTGTGCATTTTCTTCAAGTTTATGCTACCGTTCTTTCATCTCGTCTTTATGTTGCAAACTGTCGATTGTTGAAAGACGAAAAACAGGCCGGCGAAATATTTTTTTAACTATTGTTTAATTTTTCAAGCGCTTCTTAGATTTTCTCTACACACTCGTAGGCCACTTAGCCGATGGAGTTCAAGGACAAACACAGCTACATGCATTTCCGCTTCTTCCACAAAACTTTATGAAAAGTGTGTTATGGTTTAGATAAGAGTTTTAATACCCTTTTTCAAAGAAAACCTTAACCGAGCTAGGTAGATACTCGTATACATGTACATGTATGTAAATAAAGAAAGATCGAACACTCCATATGTACATATGTATGTATCTAGTATGTATGTGCGCGTTTGGGCATAAATATGTACAAACCTATATACATTATATATATACGTGTATAATACATATTTATATATGTAAATATATAATATGTAACGACAGAAATTAAAGCTACAAGAAACCACGTCTTGTCAATCGAATCAAACAAACTAAATACATATGTATTTACATACATACATATATACATATGTATAACGTATTATTTGATTGAAGCATAACGACACCACAGCCGGCGTAAAGCATACGAGTAAATAGCATAAAAACGCCACATCAATAACAATAACAACAATATCAACTGCAGCAATTACTCCAGCTTGGGGACCCCCTGACATTTCAGTATTTTCGTAGACTTTTGCGTATACACGGTGCATTGGATAATTTTTTCTGTACCACACTATATATATAAATACGTACATACATATTATATATGCACATACATACATCAGCACTAGTGGCATTACCTACAGCAACAACGGTAAACAACCTCAACTACAGCTGAAGAATCGCTAGGCTTATGGATTTTTTGCGGATTTTGCGGGTAAGTCACATACATATGTATGTACATACAATATTCAAACAAACATACACATGTTTCTACACATTTGTATACATTCATAGACATATATACATACATATATATATCTATATATACGTTAAATTATCCATGATTTTTAAATATCATCTCTCTGCTACCAACATCATCAATGATTGTTCAGTGCCACAATGACGGTCGGTCGCATTTGAAAAGCGAAATAGTTGACAATTTGTTATTTCAATCTTGCTCGTTGGGGTTTCGAAATGTACGCTTCAATTAAATACATACATATGTATGTAAAATTGGTTATGTGTTTTTATATTTTGGTATAAATTTTCATATTCGCGTAACTGAAACTGCGGTTTGGTTGTTTAGGCTTTCGCTTTTTGTGTTGTTGATTTGATTTCCTTCTTCATTGCAACATGCATATCTACAAATGTATGTACATAGTATAACAAATATATGTACATATGTGTGGTTATGTACGTATGTACGATCAGCAATATTTTACATCGGAGTTCGTATGGCTGCACGTGCTTATCGCAACTTTGCCACCGAAGTATTTTCGATTTTTTATTTAAAGTGTTTTTTGTGCTTTTTTTTTTTAACAAGGACGGATTACAAGGCTTATGTAGCTTTCAAACAATTTCCGATTTACTGTAAATGTGGCAGTTAACGGACGATTAACTTTTTTCCAACTTCAGTTTGCTTTTATACTAGTAATAGTGTTGAAACATTTGAGAACAATTTAGGATCTGTATTTAATTCTAAATGTAATTTTTTTTTTAAATATTGTTTAGGTTTTTTGTAAAAGTGATATTTGTAAGTGAAGTCTTGGGTGGAATTACGTTAAATTAAGTTAAATTTTCTGATTGCGGTCGCCCCTAGGCAACCCCTTCGAGTGTATTTCTGTTTTGAAATATAGGCTCCTAAAAAAAAACCATCAGCCCTTCGGATGCGGCTTAGTATAAACTGTAGGTCCCTCCATTTGTTGGAAAGACATCAAGACGCAAAACCACAAATCGGAGGATGAGCTCGGCCAGAAATCGCTTAAGCGGTTATAAAGCACCAATTATATATATTTGTATATATAAAGGCAGGAAATAGTATCTCACCACGGCCTTCCAGAAGAGGAATTAGATATTCACCGCCCCTAAAAACCTGATCTTATTTATAGTAAAAAAATAATTTGAATTAAAAAAATTAATTTTTTTTTTGAAAAAAAAATGCAATTTTGTTTTTGATTGACTGTGTTCATTGGAAAGAGTTCCTTTAAAAGTGATCCTAATTTTTTTTTCAGTAAATAGCAATTTTCTCATGTAATAATTTAATTGTAATTATAAAAATATTTTATGAGAAATGGACAACCTTTTCTTATAACTTTAAAGAAAAAACAAAAAACAAATTTATCAATTTCCATAATCACAAAAACCTTCCTTAAATTCGTTTTGGGGAACATTGAGTGAGATACTGCTCCAGGCGGAAAACAAATTGTGTCGGTCTACGGTGCGTTGCGTCTTACTTCAAGCTCTGATAGAAAAAAGGCTTCTCCTAAAAATTAGTTAGGCATGTGGAAAAGTCTCTCTGTTGGTAGGAAAAACATCAGAATATGTGCCACATTCGGGGCTCACCAGCTCGTCTCAAAAATAAATACAAAGCAACATATTTGAGCATATAAAATAGAATATGAATGAAATTAATTAAATATGTATATACATGCATACATAAATATTATATATATACATATGTACATATATGCATGTTACCATGGATTCAGCACACTTTACTGTTATGATGACTGTTTGCACATTTAAAGATAAACGAGTTATCTTATCAGGTGATGAATCAATAAATTGTTTGAGTAAATTTGCTTTACACCACGCCATCGCAATTTCTCCTCCCACTTGGCTATTATTTTCAACTAAACTTTTACTTACTTTCTTTATCAAACGGGAACAACGCGCAACCTACCTTCCTAGTACATACATTAGAGGATGGAAAATTGCTGTGTGACTTACTAAAGGGTGATTTTTTAAGAGCTATAGGAAAGTTAAAAAAAACATAAAATTCAGAAAAAGGCACGAAATCTTTTTTTGAATACAGTCCAAATAATTTAATGTTTGAAAATTATTTCATGCAAATGTTGATCTTGACTGCGCCTCAAATGGTCCATCCACTTAGTCCAATTTTGGCATACTCTTACCAACAATTCGGCCGGTATCTCACGAATAAAAGCTTCTTGTCTGCATAGATATTAGACTTAACATAGCACCCCAAAAAAATTTAAAGGCGTTAAATCGTACGATCTAGGCGGCCAATTGAACGGTCCCGAACGTGAAATAAAATTTTCACCGAACTCGCCCCTTAATAAGTCCATTGTTACGCGGGCTGTTTAGCCCGTTGTACCGTCTTGTTGACACCACATGCCATGCAAGTCAAGCTCTTGCATTTTGGTCGGATAAACATCTGGGTCCTTCCGATGTGAAGACCCGACTGTCGCGGGAGCTATTGGATTTTAGTCGCCTCTTACGACAGGCATGCCTTACCGCGGGTAAATTCTTGAACCCCTAACCCGCATGGGGTGAAACAAAAGTTTGATATCATTTCACGGTAGTACTCACCATTCACAGTAACGTTACTATTCGCATTATCTTTGAAGAAGTACGGTCCAATGATGCCACCAGCCCATAAACGGCATCAAAATGTCACTTTCTTCTGGATGCATTGTTAGCTTTTGCAACGTTTCTGGCTGATCTTCACTCCAACAACGACAATTCTGCTTATTTACGCACACATTAAGCCAAAAATTAAACTGACCATTAATTGGAAGAAGCGCGCGTAGAACTTTCTTAACAGAGTACGCATTCTGAAAATAAAATTCAATGATTTGCAAACGTCGTTTGTTTGTAAGACGATTCATAGTTAAAACAAAGACCAAACTGAAGATGTTTGATAGTGATGCAAAATACGAAACGTACGTCAGCTGTTTAAGCCAGTGTTGCCAAAAAGATAAAAGCTAAAAAATCACCCTTTATATGCCGCTCCTCATAAATGCTATAAAATGTTGTCTGGTTAACTTTTAATGCCATTTTAAACTTGATTGTTTGGTTTGCAGAGCTAATAGATTAATCCATATGGATATTTAGAGATTAGATTACTTCATTGTTCAGTTTTAAATAATCGAAGTTGTACGATCCCGATCTTAGTTTTTTTTCCTTAAAGTGGGCTAATCCTAGATTATAAAGTACTCATTTACAATGCAATTATATAGCCTGTTTAGATGTATGGTATTCTACTGTGAGGTATGCACCTATGCAACCACTATTGAGCAAATGCAAAGCTTCCGGTCTAAAATTCTAAGTATAAGTGATACATAAATATACATAAAGACCTTGATATCCCACTCGTTAAGCCTGAAGTTGGAAGCGGAAATTCGTCACTGCGGAGAAGAGATTTTCTCGCCTCTTAAAAAGGGCTCTGAGTTAACTTGAGCTAACTAACACATTTTTAAATGAATTTTAGGTCTTGTATACTTACTGCTAGGCTTAAATTGATACAAGCCGATTCATTAATAAATGAATAATGTTATAAAAAATTACACATTACTTTCACAACAAAATATATAATCAAATTGATTTATGTATGTAAAACTTTATTTGATATTTTAAACAAAACTTTCTATATGTCATTTCAAATAAATGTTTCACAATAATTTCGGAGGGGATTTGAACACATGTTACGCTACAGACATTTGTACAAATGTACGTACGAGTATAGCCGAGGCTCAAGTTTTGTCTTGCCATTAAAAAAACTAGAATACTCAGCAATTACCTCAGACAGCTAAGATGTGACACGCAAGATACCCTCTTTTTTAAGGTGAATTTATAATTGCGTGGGAGATTGTTTTTGTTTATCTAAATAAAAAAGAAAGCGATTTTATGCTAATTTCTAAAGTGTAAATTTGTTATTAATTCCCTCAACCAAATCTAAAATTAATTTTTTTTTCGTGGATTTACATCACATGTCAGATAAGATTCGTTTAGTAGGTGTAAACTTTTACTTTATTCTCATTTTCAGCCAATTTATTGTGAGTTTTAGTTCACCATTATAACTATATATATGCATGTATATATATACATCACCAAAATAATAATTATTATAATAATGGTTGGTTTTTTGCTCTATTCCAGTAATTAATTAAGTTTTTTTTTTTTTTTCAAAAAACAATTATTCAATTTTATTAAAGAGTAAAAACACCTTGGGAAAATGCAAAACCAAAAATTGTCAAAATGTTAATTGAACTACTCAAAAAAGGAAATCAATTTTTTGGTGATTTGAATGCTACCAACACTGTTGCCAGACGTTTTTTTTTTAAGATCTAGCTAAAAAGCCCCAAAACAGCTAAAACCAGCCAAGAAATTTTCTGAAAAAGCTAAAAAAGTGAGCTAAAAGTACAAAGCAATCAATTCAATTGTTTACTTCTTTTTAAACGCACAGAAAACATACATACATCTTCTAAAAATACAACTATAGTTTGTTTTTTATGCGTGGCTGCAATAAATCCACAAAGTAACTTTGAAGTGTTTTGGATCTTACTACAATTTTATGTCGAATCAATTATAAGAATATATCAACTTTATGTTCGAAAATAAAATGTAGGTGAAATCAATTTTGTAGAATGCATAACAACCAAATGTGTCAATTAAATAATGATACTGATTCCATAAAAACCGTATATTTCAAAATTATTCTACAACTCTGCCATCCCCTTCAAAGTAGTCCGCTCGGACGAATTCCACGGCCATCAAAAAAGGCAATAATCATCGATTTCACCTTCGACTTGCTCATGCGAGCTTTTTTCGGGCGGAAAGCGTGTGGTGACAACCATTGTGAGCTTTGGTGTTTGGTTTCTGGGCCGTATTAAAAAAAAACCAGCTCTCATCCCATGCAATAACTCAATCAAGCAGCGTCCAATTTGACGCAAAATTGTATCGCTAGAGCGATCGCAAATGTATCAATGGAGAGAAGAAGGATGCCGGGAGAAGGGAAAGGGTGTTTCGCAGCGTTACCACAATCGCGGCAATATAATCAATTTCATTGCTTAGTTGCAACACCTCGTAGAAATGCTTTCGTTCTACTTTCACTCGAAAATGAATGAGAAAACACGCCCGATAATTCCACAAATGGGCGCGGTAACGTTTTTGTAACGAAGTTCTGATATTGATTTAAATGTTATCATTTGCATTTCTAAAGTTCAATCCCTAATTGAAAAGCACATGATATCATATCTTACAGGTGGTTCCACTTCTTTATGATCGTCATAGCTTCTATTTGACGTAAACTGTTTTTTTACGTCTTCGCTTAAAGGCGACTTTCCTTCCATATTATCTTATTTTGTTTATTTAAATGGTAAATTTTCACTCAGAAAAAAAATTTTATTTTAATTAATCTTTATTTAATTTTTAATTGAAAATCATAATAAAAGTAAAAGTAAAATGCATGATTAATTAAAAAATAATTAAATCTCCTAAATGAAACATAATTTTTGGCGCAAATTTTAGGACACATTTTTGGAGATAGCAATTATTCTGGATTTGAAAAAGGATTTGTACAAAATCATTTTTTTTTTGCGTAAAAAAGGAAAAATAAACTAACTATAGATTCGAAAATCTTTAATTTCTTTATTCTTATATATACAATAATAATACAAGTTAACCATTACCATTGCCACTGCATCGATTAACGAATGAATGCTTTGGCAAACAAGGTGTTTATATAGATAGTCGTAGATATCAATAGGGATACCGTAAGCGAAAATTTTTACAAGTTTACAAAACAAGTATCATAAAGGAAGACATGTAGTGAATTATTACAGAGCACTCAATCATTGTTTAAACGTAAATCCTTTCTCTTCAATTCTACTGTAGTAACCTTTTAGCTAGAAAATTTGGATGTAACCACATAACCTTAATTTTTACGCAATTTTTCTGCTTCCTCTGTTAAGGTGTTAATCGCGAGATTGTTGTGAATTGCGCAGTTTTTTTTCCATACGATCGAGCTTTGGATATGGCTCTTAAGTAGTTAGTGTGTAGCCTCTCTATACTAGATTTAGATGCTGAGCTCCAATGTTGGTTTCGTCCAAGATGGCATTTTTTCAGATAAACGATTCAATGCTTATTTCAATGTAAAGAAGAAGATATGCTATTCTAGGTTACAAGATCGTATCCTTTTTATGATTTTTTCCATCATCAAGTCGCCATTTGGCTGTTATATGCTGTCAATAGCTTTACGTATACCATATCTGACATTTTGAATCGACGTTGGCCTGTTGGCGTAGACCATATGTTTCCCGTGGTTTCAAAGGAAAAAGTCGCAATGTAATGCTTAATTACCCAGATCTCAGTGCCGGTTGTTCTTCAACACGGTCCAAAAACGTTTTCTTTTGAAGATGGATGGTTTCGTTACTTGTGTGGTATGTAGCATTGTCTTGTTGAAGTTCAAAGTTGTCCAGATCAATACAATTCATTTCCGGCCATAAAAAATCTCCATAGCGCAATCCATTCACCGTAACTGTTGATCCAACCTCATTTTCGAAAAAGTATTAGATCTTATCTGACCCCGCTGGACTATAAACCGCAGTGAACAGTCACACGTTGAGGCTTTTCAAGAATAAATCTCTGGTTTCCGGAGCCCCAGATGTGACAGTTTTGCTTACTCATCAATCAAGATGATTTTTCGATGAAATTCCGAATCATTTTATGCATTTCTGGGCCCCAATCCGTAAAGACACGACGTTGTCTTTATGCAAACGAGGCTTGGCAAGCTTGGGTTTTCTTCGGCACTTTGGGCTGCAGTAGAAATATTGTCAGCTGTTCTTGTGCGACGTGCACGTGTTTTATTCTTCACATTAATAACTTATCTCCACCAGTTTCACTATTGAGGTCCGAAAGTGCTTCACGAAAACCGAAAAATGTATTAGTTTTACGAACCGTTTCTGTCAGGTTCCCACCATTTTTATAGGGATTTTTTAATAATTTCAATGCGTCTTTGACGGGTGTGTCAAATGTCAAAAGTGACAGCTGCAAAAATTGTAGGCTATTTAAAATAACACCTCTAATTGGAAAACCCTTCATTACCATATCGTTCGCAAAAGTTGATGTGACGAGGTCACGGTTTGTGGAAGATCGCTTGTATAAATTAAAGATATGACGGTCTCTACAACGCTACCTTGTGGAACACCAGCATATACTTCGCAGTATTCAGTTGTGTAGCCCGAGATTTTCAGCTTCCTTATTGGCGCTTTTTAGTGCAGTGTAAATATTTACGGAAAGCGTAACTCTTTGCTTGTCCGTTTACCAAAAATTTATCAAATTTTTGAAAAACAACAAGGAAAAATGCGGCAATATTGTTTGTTTTCAAACACTGATCTTCAATATGTGTGTTACGATCCCTATGAACCTATGCTGTGTCTTTTTCTTAACCCGTATTGGTGCTGTGGTTATGACCTGTTTCGGTTCTAAAATCGTTTGTATTTTTTGCAATTATATATGTTTCGATGATTTTTAAGAATATCGTAATTAAGCCAATAGGCCTATAGGAGCCTACTAAAGTTGGATCTTTACCTGATATAAGAATTATAATATTTCTCGAGAGCTTCCAGGAAAATAATGCAATCTTAATATGCTTTCAAAGACATAAAGTATGTTTTATAAAATATTGGATGAGTGCATAAGTTCGTGCCCGATTCCGCTGGATGCCGTTCGAATCGTTTGAGAGTGGCGCTCGCGAAAGAAATATATACATTTTATATTTCGTTGGAAAGGTGACAGTCCGAACTGTAAATCAAGCATAAAATAACTTCATTTTAATTCGAAATGCTTAGTGAAAAGACGCATGGAAGATGGACAACGAATATTAAGTTATACGAATGATGAAAAATGGATCCTGTGCAAAAATGTTCAACGCAAAAGAACATGGAAACAGGCACACGAAGGGACAGAACCGATGTCGAAAGGTGGATTGCATCCGATGAAGGTACTCCGAGGCGTGATCTATTTTGAGCTCTTGCCAGCTGGAGAAACGATCACTGCCAAAAAGTATTGTCAGCAATTGGTCGAATTGAAGAAAGCAATTGATGAAAAACGTCCGATTTTGGCCAATCGCAAAGGAGTTCTTTTCCATCATGACAACGCCAGGCCACATGTTGCAAAACCGACCCTGGCCAAACTGAAGGAGATGAATTGGGAAATCATGCCGCATCCCCCATATTCACCCGACATTGCACCTTCTGATTATCATTTGTTTCGATCGCTGCAGAACAATTTGAATGGAAAAAAATTTAAAAATGTGGAAGACGTCAAAAACCACCTTGACACCTTTTTCAACGAGAAACCGCGCGATTTCTATGAATCAGGCATCCGTAAATTGGTTGAACGTTGGGAGTGGATTACCGAACATAACGGCGAATACATAATTGATTAACAAAAGCGCTTTCTTCAAAAAATTTCAATTTTAGTTTGCACTTGAAATCGGGCACGAACTTATGCACTCATCCAATATAAATGTGAAATAATTTCTTTGAGTGATAATAAAAAACTAACAATATAACTGCAATTTTTT